TGCGGCTCCCCTGGGGTTGGCCAGCTTGCTTTGGTGGTGTCGATTGCCCCACAATCACAGCTGGTCCAGATGGGGAGAATAAAGAGAAGTGGTCGTCATCCCTGAAGACACTGTCCCTGAGGCCTTGCTCTCATCTGTGAGCAGAGCAACAGTTCTCAGAGCAGAGGACAGGGATGTCCTGGGAGAGAGGCCATGTGTGTCCTGGACAGTGGGGCAATACCTCCCAGGGGCCCAGAGGTCCCCCGGAGACCATGCTTCCCACCGCGCCCTCCCACCCCCATCTCATGGACAAACAGGCAAAGGAAGTGTCCGGCCACACTGGGATCCAGTGGCTGGGAGAGGGGCCTGGAGCTGCCTGTGCTTCCGTCGGTGCCCCCCCACACCTGCGCCTGGCAGCGCTATCCCTGGGAGCGTGTGGTGCCTCGAGCGTGCAGGGCATGCCCGTGAGTGGCACTCAAGAGTCTGTGTGCGGGCATGTGCCCTTGTCCCCAGCCTTCTTCCAGCGGTGGCTGGTGGTGGGAGGGTGTCCACCTCCCGGGGGTCAGAAGTGTGTCTGGCTTCCCCAGAGCCTGAGAGTAGGAGCCCAGGTGTGCTCTGGGGCTGCCTCCTCAGACTGCGTGGCACAGACTGGCACTGCACGTGCATCCACGTGCACGGACTGCAGCACAAGGGCCAGGCCGAGCGACGATCGCACCACATCCCCACAGTGATGTCCCGGGAGAGAGGCCGTGTGTGTCCTGGACAGTGGGCAATACCTCATGCCTTGTGTGTGTGAAAAACGAGGAGCACTCACCTGATGATCCCTCCCTGTCCTTGGAGGATGCCTGGGAGATATCTAGGCCCTGCGGTACTGGCTCCAGGTGGCCATTTCCTCCTCCTACTCCTCATTGTGGGCTGGGACCCCCAGGCGGGTGATGACGGGCATCTCCAGCCCTGAGGACACCACCAGGGGTAGGGGAGGGGCTGCACTGCCCCCCAGAATGCGGTGAAGTGGGGTCCTGCCCCAGAGCTTGAGCTGTACTCCCTTGCCCTGGCGTGGGCCTGCCAGAGCTCTTTGACCTTGCTCCGGACCTGCTCAAGGCTCCTATTGTGGCCCCTCGTGGCCAGGCTCTTAGTCATCTGGCTGTAGATGTGCACATTGCACCATCTGGAGTGAAGATCCTGGAGGTTCTCCTCGTGGCCCCTTGCCTCCAGGAGGGCCAGGATCTCTGCTCCAGACCAGGACGGTGCACACCTTTTCCGGCCCCTGGGAGCCCTGTGCATGCTCCCTGGGAGGACCAATGGACTCTTAGTGGCTTGTGGCTACGACATTGGTGCCCCGTCGTCAGGCATTGGCAGCCGCAAAGTGTCTGGAGACTCCCAGACCTCTTCCTGCAACAAGCCCCGTCCCCTGTGTCTGCAGCTTTAAGAGCTGCTGGGAGACAGGAACTAGAGAGTTGTGATAAGTGTGGATGGCATGGCACCTGTTTAAAGCTTTTCTGGAAAAAGGTTTATTCCTTGTAGAATGAGATTTACTGCTGTTGTAAAAAGCCGGCCGTTATTTTGACTTTGTCGAATAACAGAACAGCAGTGTGGACGCTAGTACTGTTTTTCCAGAACAATGACCGTTATTCCAGAAAAATGCTGCCGTGTAGACGTACCCTTAGAAGTCCACCTAAAGATGTGACTCTTCTGGTTTATCTTTTCAAGTGGTCACATAATAAAAGTTGGCCCACCCTGGTCCCCAGCACCTTCGGGACCTGAGCAGTCCTGAACCAGGGAGCTTGCCAGACCAGGGCAAGTAAAGGCTTCTGTCTGGGCTGTGGGGGTCCCCAGAGCCTGGGATGGCCCCATACCAGGGCTCCCAGGATCAGCTTCCTCAGGCTGGGATTCTTCAGCCATCAGCAGTCCTGCTGCAGAGTTCTCTGGGCCAGGGATTCCCCTTGGCTGTCACTGCTGCTACCACGGTTTGTGGCTGAGGCTGGGGAATCTCTCTCTCCCCACCCCCACCCCAGTTGCCACTGAGCCCCGCTGCTGCTAGGGTTTGCAGCCGGGGATTCCCTGTGGTGGCTACCACGGTTCCCAGCTGGGGCTGGAGAATTCTCCCAGATGCTACTGAGGCTCCCTGGGAACGAACTCCCCACCTACCACAGGACCAGACCTTGTCGACCCAGATGAGGCTCTTCAGCACCTGTGGGACTTCTGGCTGGCTTGTGCTCCTCGCTTCCGGGGCTCTTTGGTCCAGCAACTTCCATGGTCTGTCCTTCCGGATGTGGCCAGATCAGAGTCCCTGGTTTGGGCGATTGAGCCTGTAGAACTGAAAGATTTCTGTGCAAAATCTGTAAAGTAAGAAAACTCATGCTTGCTTTTCAGTAGCTCAAGAATTAGAATACAGATAAGTTAGGAAACTGTGAGCATTGCTAACAAAATGTCTTTCATTAGCTTTCTATTTCTTTGGGGAGTTCTTGGGGTCACCTGCCTCATCCAGATCCTGCATTCTCAATTGCTTCTCCCTTTAGCTGGAGAAGAATGGCCCTTAATAGATCAGTTACTCCCCCTTTTCTATTTTATCTGTCTGACTCCCTCATCAGATTCAGCATGAGATCAGAGATCCCTTTCTAGGTGAAGTCACTGAAGGTGACTTGATTGCCTGGTGACCTAGGTTTTCTTGGGAGCCAGTTTGTCATGTAGAGCCTTACATTTCAGTGGTTGAGCATTTAATTAAATGACTGTTAGATCATTGAAAGAACAGAAGATAATTAGCCCCATGTTTTCACTGAAGATAGCCATGTACACTGTGACTGTGGCAGAAGCGGTGGTACACTCCTGAACTTTGTTTTTAGGTTTCTAATGTTGGCCACCAGATTGAGCATTGCAAGGGGCTTTAGAAAAGCATTTGTTCCTTTGCTGGGCAGAAGAGAGCAAAGCACTGTTCCGGCAATATAAAACCTACAAAAGCCCTAAAACCACAATAGGATTGCTTGAGTCTTTGAACTCAGCAAGAAAAAGGTAGCGTGAAATTATGACAGCATTTGACTTGAACACTTCAAGCCACAAACCCTGAAAGTGCCTCCTTATATCACCACGAGTAAGTGCAGATGCCATCTCTTCACAGTTAATTGCAAACTCTTGTGTGGCAATGGATCAAAGCATTAGAGAGCAAATCAATAAATAACATTATTGTGCAATAAATTAGTGTCAGTTGTCTTAACCCCTTTTTGACCCTGTCAAAGTCAGATACAGGACTCACAAATTTGTCAGACTGCTCTGTTTGTTAGCAAAGCCGCTCTAATACACCCAGAAAATGAGAGTACCATACAAGGCTCGAACCCCTTGATTTATACAGACAAAAGAAAGCAAAATCAACAAGATTACAAAAGGGCGAAACTCACACGATTCCCATGAGAGTAGTCAGTGTAGACAGCTGGCAAGTTTTTCCGCAAAAACAGATGATTTTGCGGAAAAACTTGCCAGTCTAGACACAGCCCTAATGTTCCAGACACACCTGACTCCACTCTGATCCATCCTGCATACCTACAAACAACATTAACATAATCTTCTCTTTCCTGTTCAGGGACAAACATTATTCCTTGAACTTATTCTATTACAGTATAATTCATCTTTCTCTTAAAATATAATTCTTTCTACTTTCACAACCCCTCATACCAGTGTTTCCCAACTCTGTTTGGCCCCGGAACCCTTTTAAATTGGAGGAATTTTGCTGAACCCCTAATAACAGCAACTGATTTGACAGCTGAAACTTCAGCTTTGTCCGACGCAGTGCTAGTATATACGTATTCAGTCACCCACGTGATCCTCGCTGTCTGAGAGTGAGTACGGGTGTTTACGGTGGTGTATAACAGGTGATTGCACCACTGACTGCGTGCAGCACTGAGTAGTGGCATCCCCACTCTCTGGCTAAGCTGGCATTACACAGGGACACTTATCACGGCAAACACAAATGAAAATTGTTTTCAATAAAATTTATAAATGCTTAATTATCTTTTTAATCATAAAATGTTATTGTAATGGAATTTTCTCGCGGAACCCCTATTGTCACATTTGGGAAATACTGCCTTCTATAGTAGATGAAGTAGTTAAAGGTTTCTCCACCAATAAGTATGGGGAAGTGGCAGGAATAGACAGACTATATTCTATTTTCCTGAAGAATCTTGGTCCAAAAGCAAGAAGATGGTTAGTGGAAGTGGTAGAAGAAAGGGGATGAATCTAGCTCCCCTAGAAATAATAGAATGGGTTTTGAATGTCAAGTATAGTTTTTAGAATATTTCAGCAACTTAGGATCCCAGGTCATGGTACTTGCATAACATTTATTCCTTTTTTAATACTATTTAAATTCTTGTCCTTAAACACTAAAATTAAGTCTCTTGACTGAAGCAGCATTTCGATTTTGTGGTCATTACTGATCTCTAAAATATATTGTGGCAATTTCACATTGTATACTAAGGCTTCAGCAGTGGTTTTAGAAGTATTTTTTTTGTCATGTTATTGTAAGATAGTGATTGGTCTTACAAAATTTTAGATACAATTTTATATAAAGGACTAATTCATTTTATGCTGCTAGCTAGGCTGAGTATCAAATTCCACGTCTGAATGAGGGATTTCCCCAATGGGCTTTTGTTAAAGAAGAGGTGCATATGGTGTAGTTTTTTTCTTTTGTAATTGTTTTTTTAATAAGGGGAAAATGTACATTACACAAACAATTCATGTAGCTTTAAAGTTATGAAAAGACTGCAGGTCATAAGTTAGTGGGAATGAAATATTAGGTCATAATGTCACTGTCTTTTTAAAGCAAATTCGACCTTTAGTGTGTCAGTGGCATGTTTATGTTGTAGAGAATATCATTGGGGATGGAAATAAAGAATTTATAAGGATATTTATAAAAAAATCTGCTTATAAGTATGTATAACTAAGTACTTATTTACTGTGAGTGAGCAAATACCTGGGGCAATAGTAAACTTATTGTGCCTATTAAAGTGTTTCCTAATTTCCTTTCTTAATAGAATGGTCCTAGTGCTAGATCTTGTCACAAGATGTGCATTGATATTCAGCGAAGGCAAATCTACACATTGGGCCGTTACCTGGATTCCTCTGTGAGGAACAGTAAATCTCTGAAGAGCGATTTCTACCGCTATGACATCGACACGAACACCTGGATGTTGCTAAGCGAAGACACGGCAGCAGATGGAGGTCCCAAGCTGGTGTTTGATCATCAGGTCAGGTGCAGAGAGAAACACTGAGTGCACTTTTTACTTTCCAGGCTTTGCTTAACACATTTCTTACCACAGCCCATTCCTAGAATTGCATTATTTGGTGCAGACACTTCCCAACTAAAAATATATTGGGAGAAATGCGTATAATGCGTATTTAAAAAGCTTGTGTTCCTAATAAGCAATCTTAATATTACAATATAAACTACCCTAATTTCTTCAAGAACATGAACGTTATTTGTTAGTATCTTGTAATCTATAATGATTAAGAAACAGTGGTATATGTGGGAAAGCTAGTCTTGCACAGTGATGTCTGGTCTGTAACTGGTTTGTCACTGGAATTGTGGAATCATATAGATATTGTAGTCCATGTTGGATGTTACTGGGGACGCAATAGAAGAGATGGCGCAGATATTGGAAAAAACTTGGATTCTGATCAAAATTTGGCCTATCTTTATTTTAAAAACTAGAGTGTGTGTGCACGCGTGTATACATATAGATGTTTCATAAGCATTGGAACTCCTTATGGAATTGGCTTCCAGCTTTTCTTTGGAATATTGTATCTTGGAGAATTCAAATTCAGATTGAATTGATTCTTTTTTTTTGCTGCCTTTTGTGTTTGGCAGATAAGATAAATATCACAAGGCCAAGAAACGAAAAGAGGGTTTCCATTTTCAAGGCAATTCCCAAACTCACCAGTTCAAACTCCTTCTTTTGACTTTTTCTATGGTTACCAGGGTTATATACATGTTTCTGCTGACCTCAGTAATGCGATCATATGCCTCATGAACATCTCCTGGTCAGTGGTGCAGTGGGGGGTGCTAAGCCAGCTTCCTGCCTCTCCTTGCACTTCAGACCATGATGCACCCCAAAAGCAACCAGCAGCAGATTCCTAGCCTATGTGAGTGCTAGCGCTAAGAACTGAGCTCCCATTCCCTTCACTGTGTGGCTTCTGAAGGGAAAACAGGCATTACAAGTAGGGAAGCCTTACCTTAGTAGGAACAGGAGCAGCAAGGCAATAGATATGGAGAGAAGATCGACCTCATAGGGGGCTGTTTTCAGATTGTCAGGCACTGGGTGTCTCCTGCAGCAAGGAGATCCAGTGCCTGACTTTCCACCACCCAGTACTGGGTCATGACCAATATTTTGAAAACCAGTATAATAGGCTATCCAACAAGGCCAGCCTTGATGTCCTGTCTGTCTGCTTTCCTTGAAAACCCCACTCTCATTCCTCTCCTTACTGTAAGGAATATTGTTCCTGAGTACATCTACCAATCTAACCCCTCACTCTAGCATCCTCTACAATGCGTACACATTTTTCTGATTGTGCACTAATTGGTTTTGCTCCGTCAAGTTGTGATCTAGCCTGTGCTGAAGAGCCACCTAATGTTGTTGTAATTCCATCTCCCCTCTTTCCCTATGTCCCTTGCTTTCAGTAAAACCATTTGTTTTATATCTGAAGTAAGGTTTTTGGAGACAAGGACCAACCACATTGTCTTATTTGTATTGAGACACTTTTTCAGTCAGTTGTTTCAAGCTTTAGAGATATAGTAACAGTTCATATTTAATACGTATATTACCAAAATACCTAGAGACCTTAAAAGGACAAGGCCCTGCTGTTTTAGAAATAACAGGTAAATGAGACAGTTAAACTCTGTGTTGTCAAAACTGTATCTTTAAGAGTACTCAGAGGTGCCCAAAATACAGCCTGTGGTTACATCTTACACAGAATACACTTTGTAAACTGGGGGCCAATAATCTCTGTCTGTATTACACATGGAGTTAGCGGCAAACTGCTTCATTTACTGCAGATTAAGGAAGGAGGATGTGCTCATGTTAACTCACTGAATACCACTATTCTACTGGCTGTCTCAATGAGCTAAGGGTTTTTTATTGTCTGATAAGAAATCTTAGTATATTCTTGATTAAATAAGTCTAGTTGAACATGTATCTCTTGCTTCCTACAGATGTGTATGGATTCAGAGAAACACATGATCTATACGTTTGGAGGTAGGATTTTGACGTGTAATGGCAGTGTAGATGACAGCAGAGCCAGTGAACCTCAATTTAGTGGATTGTTTGCTTTTGACTGTCAATGTCAGACATGGAAACTGTTAAGAGAAGATTCGTGTAATGCTGGACCTGAGGACATCCAGTCCAGAATAGGACACTGCATGTTATTCCATTCGGTAAGTTTTCAATTTGGATTTTAAGTCACAATGCCTGACTTTGGGGAGGCCAATACCTATTTAACTCCATTAAGAGCATAAAAGCTTTCTTCAGATCAGTCCTTTGGGCAAGTAGTAAAACAGATATTAGCCACTTGTAATCATTAACACTGGCACTGTTTGTAGGAGAGTGTGCTAATAAGGATTTTTTGTGTGGTGTTTAAAATGTACTTCAATATAGTTTCAAATGGTAGCATCATGTGAACTGAACTGTATGTGGTGGTGGTCTGCCATCAAACTGTTGCATTCCCTGTTCTCCTTCCCTCTTTGGGGATGCTTTATTTCATTGGAGTGTCAAGTGATCCTTGCTAAAAGTTGACACAGCATTTTGGGATTCCTTGGCCTCATAAATGATGCATATTAGGAAGAGAAGCAATGGTGACTTGCAGATATATATGTGTTCAAGAGTGTAGTGAGAAAGTAAGGACCTGATTGTCAAATGTGTTCAGTATGTAGCAGCTTCTGTTCTTGAAATATGCTGCCCAGAACTGAATACTCTTGAAAATCAGGTTACTTCATAAATTCCAGGGCCAGAAGGGACCACAATGATCATCTGATCTGACCTTCTGTATAACAGAGGTCGTAGAATTTCCATGAATTAGCTTTCATTAAAACAGGAATTATCTTCAAGAAAAACATTCCAGTCATGATTAAAAAATTGCTATAGTTGGAGAGTCTGCCACAGCCTTTGGTAAACTGTTCCAGTGACTAATTACCTTCACTATTAAATTTTTATGGATAACTTCCGGGCTGAATTTGTCTAGCTTTGACTTCCAGCCATTGGGTGGTCTGCTAGGTTGAAAAGTCCATTATAAAATTTTGGTTCCCCATGTAAGTACTTATAAACTACAATCAAGTCAGCTCTTAACCTTCTCTTTTTTTAGATTCAGGTAGCTCAGTCTCTTTATTTAGTAGCTTAAATGTGATCAGAGCCTTTTGAAATTTTATTCTCAATTATGTATACTGAGGATTTCCAAAAAAATCTGTCCTTAAATGCCTGACATTTAAAATTTACATTAAAATATAATTTAAATTTAAAATATTTGTAGTTTTTTTTAGCTAAGAGTTTGTGACAATATGAACTTTTATGATTGAAGTGTCAAGCATAGTTTTTCTGTTTTAGTAAGTCTCTGAGATCAGTTTTATAATATGTATAATTTAGTGTTCTATTTTTCACTATCGTACTAAAAACATAAAATGTAAAGGTCAGTGATTTGTTGTGTTAGGAATTCCTAAAGGATCAAAATCCAATCTCGCTCTTCATTTAGTGGAAGATACCTTAGAAACTTTTCAAAGTTCCATTTTGTTTCAAATTGCCTTATAAAACTTAAATACTGCTGAATCATTGACACAAAATATTCTTTCAGGTAACTGAATTTGTGTGTGCTTTATGCTCACCTATACACTTACACATATGCAGCTTATGGAACCTTTAGACTGATGTCAGTCCAAAAAATGATTTGGGAAGGAGCAAAAGCAGTCTATCTACACTGAGGGACTTTTAATTGGTTATGCTTGGGGGAATCCCCTGACCCCGAAAACTGATACAGTTAACAAGTCATTTCTGTCCATTATGTCTAATGTATGCATTTTTGTATTTGGGTGACTTTCCTATCACATGATTTATCTTTTCTTTTGGTTTTTGCAGTGAATTCTTAGTCCTATGTATTAACATTGAGAATGTTAACTGTGGAGACTGATTGATTAAATTGCAAGTACAGCACTGTAATTTTCTGCCTATTCAAACAGGTTGATAATAGTTAAATATGGGGGAAAGTCCTACCAGGTCACTTCCTTGCTATGTGTAGGCTCCAGTGCTGCTAACTCTGTGTGCAGAGCTCATAGTTGAAGTCTAAAGAGATACACGTATGTATGGCTTTCAGGATCTGGCCCTGGATTTGGGTTGTCAGACAGTGAGTGTAATAAGATCCAGTCAGTAGAAGTTGGAGTTTAAATAAACTGTACCTTAAAATAAAATGATTTATTGGAGCATAAGCTTTCTGAGCGAAGACCCACTTTGTCAGATACATGTACAGGAAATTCCAGTGAAAAATCCAGTACATGCATCCGATGAAGTGGGTCTTTGCCCACAAAAGCTAATGCTCCAATAAATCTGTTATCTATAAGGTGCCACAGGACTTCTCGTAGTTTATGCAGGTTCAGACTAACACCGCTACCCCTCTGATACTTAAAATAAAATGTAGTTTCTTAGCAGTGAGGCTAATCTAAATATTGGAACGTCTTACCAAGAGAGGTGATGGCCTCACTATTGCTGTCATGGAAATGAGTTTAAATATATTTGTAAAAGAGCTGCTTTAGGTAATGTGCTCATGGTGGTCCCTTCTGGCCTTGGGATCTGTGAAATCCTCCTGTTCCTCACCTTCCTACTCCAAGGCCCCTGAAACATTATATGCTTTGCCCTCCATGTGATCATAACACTTGCAACTCTACGTTTAGACAATGCTAAACCTCGTGGTTCAGTACTTCAGCAGGTCACTTGCAGAGGTCCAGAACGATTTTTTTATTCCCATACACAATTGGCCAGGTGCATGCTCGGTTTTTTGTCTTGCTCTGTAGCATCAGCGAATCAGATACCATATGTGGTGGGCCAGTTCTTCAGAGCTGGTATAGTGAATCCTCTTCCTTACCTCACTGGTTACTGAACCTTGCTCTCATGACCAGAGTCAAACCTCCATAGCTGAAGGTTGCGAAAAAAATTTCTCTAGGTCAGACTGGCAGGAGCCTTGGTGTTTTTTTTCATCTTGCTTTATAGCAGGGGTGGGTAAGAATTAAGAATATTAAGGACTAGTCAACTAGTTGATCCATACCCCCCTCTTGGGGGGGGGGAGAGAAGAAGGGGTACTTCAAAGCGGCAGCACCGCACAGCTGATACCAGGCTCAGCTGTGTGGCGCTGCCCCTTTGAAACGCTGCCTCAGTGTTTGCATGGAGCCCAGGGTCAGCAGGGGAGTCCCCAGCTGATCCAGGCTCCACATGGCATTTCAAAGCGGCAGCTCAGCATGGATCCTGGGATCGGTGGGGGACTCTGATTCACCCACTGACCCCATGTTCCATGAGGGCACTTCTGCTTTGAAATGAGCAAGAGCCCCCTTTGTATATTTCAAAGCTGGCACCTGCGTGCAGCCCTGAGTCAGCGGGATTTCCCACTGGCCCCGGGCTGCACGCGGAGTTCCGCATTCCTCCTTTGAAATGTACAAGAGTCCCAGTTGAGTACAATGTACAAGAGCGATTAGTTGAGAAGTTGATGGAAATTCCACTGACGACGACTCTAGTAAATTGCTTGATATTTAACATCCTTAGTAAGAACCTCTCATGGCTGCATCCAGCCTGCCAAGCCACCAGATCCAGCCTGTGGACCTCCTCTGCCAGGACCTTTAGGAACACAGTAGCTGCTTTTTTAAGTTCGGGGCTGCTCCATGTGGCTCTGTCCGCTGGAGGAAAAGGGAGGCTTTGGGTGGTCTCCCCAGCCCAATTCTCAGCTTCTGTTGGCTGGAAGCAAGGAACAGACCCCAGCCAGTCAGTCAGTCAGGAGCTGAGAGACTGGCCTGGGGGATGAGGCATGGCAAGCCACCTTCCCACTCCCAGAGCTGAGAACCACATAGAGGGAGCACCTTGCAGTTTTAAGCCATCTGGGGCTGCAGCAGGTGGGGAGCCCAGCCTGCCTTTGGGGGGTGATGTAGGGATGCTGGCCAGGAGTTGTTTGTGCTGCTGCTGGCCAGGAGCTGCTTAGGTAAGTGCTGCCTAGCTAGAGCTTGCCTCTGGCACCCCACCCCTTCCCATACCCCAACTCCCTCCCAGACCCTGTACCACCTCCTACACCCCTCCCCCAGGCCAGAATCCTCTCCTGAACCCATATCACCTCCTTGACCCTACAGTCCAACCCCCTGGCCCAGGTCACAGCCCCCTTCTTCACCCTAACTCCCTCTAAGACCTCACACAATATCCTGCATCCCAGTCCCTTACCTCATGTGCCCCTCTGCACTCAGCCTCCATCGTAGACCTCACACCATCTCCATAGAGAAGTGCAGCCCTTTACCACTTTCCAAAACATTGGAGTGGCCCCCTATCAAATTATTGCCCACCCCTGCTTTATAGCATTGCTGAGCGGAACCTTTTTTCCAATTGGAACCACTGACCCCTAGGGGGAAAAAAAACAGTAAGTTGACCTCATTGCCCCCTGGGGATGGGTGGGTGCAGAAGCTCAGGATTTACCTTAGGCTCTGGCATGGGGCTGGAAATGAAGGGTTCAGGATGCAGGACTGGGCTCCAAGCTGGGGAAGAGGGTGGGAGGGAAGTAAGATGGTGAGTGCTCTGGGGGTGCTGGATCTGGGGATAAGGGATTTGTGATGTAGGAGAAGGCTTTGCATTGAGGCCAAGGGGTTTGGGGTGTGGGTACAAGGTCTGGGGGGGAGTTAGTGGTGCACAAGAGGGCTTGGGACTGGGGCAGCGGTGTGGGGTCTGGGAGGGGATTTGAGCTCTCAGAGGAGGCAGGGGATGGAAGAGTTGGTGTAGGAGTGGGGCTCTGGGCTGGCGGTGCAGGCTCTGGAAAGGAGTTAGGGGCTTTGGACTGGGGCAAGGAGTCCAGGGCACTTAGGCAGATCCTGAGTTGGGGCTGAGATAAGAGGCTCTCTGACTGCCCTGGGCCCGTGCTGCCCATGGGAGTGGCCGGCGTGTCCCTGCAACCCTGAGAAGGGAGGTGTCCATATGGTGTCGGTGCCTGCAGGTACCACACCCACAGTTTCTGTTGACCACATTTCCTGGCCAGTGGGAGTTGCAGGGGTAGCACCTGTAAGCAAGAACAGCATGTAGAGCTTCCCCAATTGCGGCAAACCAGTGCTTGCAGCTCCAACACAGCTGGAACCAGGGCTCATGCCTTCTGGCCTGTGGCATGCAGACTTGACGTGAGCTAAACTCAATTAGCCAGATTGGTCAGATGTTCCATATCCCTGCTCTACAGTGTTGGGAATTTCCTGCAGGGTCATCTAGCCCTATTTTACCAGTTAGTTCCCTGCCTTTGCAGGGCCTGGAGGATTCATGGAACTTTAGTCTTGTGTTCACTGCCTGTGCCACAACATGTTCGCTTGAGGACTGAAATGTTCAGTTTAACTAAAGCAGTTGGGCTCAGTATAGGGGTATAGTGCTAAAATGTAATGACCTGTGATGATGGGGTCCCTTCTGGTTTTAGGACCTAGTGTCATAGACTGTATTTAAACAAATATCTTCATAGTTTTCCCATGTCATCATAACAAAACACTGAGAGATCAGTGGATTTGTAAGCCTAGTATTTTTGAAAGTTTTCCTCAGTAAATATTTCATTTAAGAGCAAACTGTTGCCAAAATAAATCAACTGTGTTTCCTAGGAAAATCTTTTTGGGGTCAGGAACCAAAAGTATAGTGAACTCAATTCTAATCCTTTTTTATATTTCCCATGGGCAAAACAGAAACTGATGTAAATAATTCTCCCTTTTCCAACTAAAATTGCACCTGAACTATTGCTTGTTTTCATGATGTATTAATGTTTCTGCAAGCGCTGGTTGGCTAAGAATTTATCTTCTTGAGTACAGTTCAAAAGTTAAGCATCTGCTTTCCTTCTCCAGAAAAACCGCTGCTTATATGTATTTGGTGGGCAGAGATCGAAGACTTATTTGAACGATTTCTTCAGTTACGATGTTGACAGCGATCATGTGGATATCATATCAGATGGCACCAAGAAAGATTCAGGGATGGGTAAGAGCATCACTGCATAATTTCTTCTTGTTGGGACAGGTGAAAGACTTAGGGCATATATCAGCAGATGCTCAGCAATGCAGGCTGGAGATTGGTCCTATAAGATCACAATGGCTTGTTAACAATAATGACATCAAATTAGAGCTTGCTTTCTGTTGCCCACTCTGTTGTACCTGTTAGATAAATGTCTGACTTCATTCTCCACAGCTGTCAATTTGGCATCTTTACCAATACTATTTTTTTCAGGCTTACAAGTAAATCACATTTATTAGGGTTTAACATTCATCACCATTTCAATGGCCTTCTAGTCATCTGACTTGATATTTCCCTCCATTATCATCTTGCAGCCTATAACAATGGAGTCTTAGTTAAATATTTGCTAAAATATTTGTGTGAATCTCTGGCAAATAATGAAAACAAAAGAAATCCTACATGTAGTTTTGTTCCTTAAACCAATATAGAGAATATTCCAAAACAGTAAAGTGTTTCTCTTCCAGCTCATTATTTGAGGAATATATATAGTCAGCCAAGACATGAAATGAAATGGAGGGAATGTATTCCAGATGGCACAAGCAGCATAATAGCTGCCAAGTTGTGTAATAGCACAGAAAAGTTTTATGTTAAAGGAAATTAAGGGACTAAAGGAGTAGAGGAGAACAGGTTTGTGAGTTAGGCTTGGAAGTCCATGTAGAATTTGCTGAGAAGAATGACCTGATCCCCAGAAGAGATGGGAAGTGACCC